ATGGGATGGTGTAAGTAAAGGCACGGAAATGGAAGGGATCCCAAAATGAATAGGACATAAAAAGTAATGTCATTTGTCTAGAATTATATAAACAACAGTAATTTGAAATAAAACTGGAAAGATGGTTTGGAACCAAATTTTAGAAGGTTTTTGAGTTCTAGAATAATTTATTCCCTATTGTTTACTGGACAATAGAGACCCATTGAAAGTTTTTAAGGAGTAATGTGATCAGGGAAAACTTATCAGGCATATATGGAGTAGCTCTACTGAAGAAGAAAAAGGCTAAAAGCAAGAAGGCCTTATTAAAGACTTTCTGTATTAGTTGAGTCAGACATACACATATGAATTTGCCCACTGATTGGGCAGTGGGAATAAGGGAAGGAATTAAGATTCAAAAGATTACTTCAAAACTTTGTGCACAGGTGATTCAGAGAATGGTGGTACTGAAACAAATTAGGGGGGAAAGCAGATTTTTGGATTAAAATTATGTTTTGTTTTAGAAATATTGAACGTGGGTGCTAGATAGACATCCAGGTGAAAATTTGGAAATTGTTAGTCTGGAACTCAGCAGAAATAGTCATGTTATGGCTAGAGTTTTGGAAGATATCTGTTTTATGTCAATGGATGAGATTGCTTAGGAAGAAACTATGGAAGGAAAGGAAAGTGAAGAAAGAGATTTAGGGGATGCCCTTATTAAGATGGCTAAATGAAGAGGCACCAAGGCAAGAACAGTAAGAGAAGCAGGAAAACCGGAAACTTTAATGTCATGGAAACCAGTAGAAGTGCTTCAATAAGAAAGCAGTGGTCCATACTATGGGATTCTGCTGAAAGATCAAGGCGGAAAAAAATTGAGAAAATGCTATTGAGTTTAACCTGTAAATCATTGGAAGCCTTTGAGGGAATAATTTCAGTGAAATCATGGGGATCAAAAGCTAAATTTTAAGGAATTCAAGAGTAAGGAAGGAAGGAAGCGAAGATAGTATAGACAAGAGGTTTTTGCAACCAACTGTTGCAGTGCTCCAAAAAACAACTTTAAAAAAAAAGCCTCTCACAGGATGATAAATCGGCCCATGTTCCTATTTGAGGGTAACGCCTCTAGTCTAGACCATTCTTTTAAGAAGTTCAGCATTAACAAGGAGAGAAGGGGTGTTGTGGTAGTAGAAAATAAAAGTTGACAATGAAAGTTTGTGTGTGTGTGTGTTTGTGTGTGTAAGTATTATTTTTGTTGTTTTAAACCCATAGTAAAATGGGAATATGCAAATTAATTACTTATTATTTATTAATTTATTTTAAACGTAAATACTAAAACTTAAATGCCCAATAAGAAAAGAAAAAGAAAAATTATAAACTTAAATACAAAATAAGAAAACAGAAAAAAAGCATTGCCGTGTGCAACAGCAGAATGTAAGAGAAGATTCAAAATACACAGCAATAAATTTCCATTTCAAGAAAGCTTATATGATAAATACTACACGTTGTGTTCAGAGCTTCCCATTTTTTTTTTGCTTCGTTTCTACTGTGCCCTTTTTACTTTGTTCTTTTTCCCTCGTTCCTCCCCCCCATTTTTGTTATTTCAAAAATTGTTTACCCCATAGCATCTCAAAATAATTAGAATAAATTTGATCTTTAGTTCATTTGGAGATAATTTTAAGGTTTTTTGCTTCAAAGAAAAGTAATTAAGTTCGATGTATCCTTTACTGACATAAGTGGTTGTTGTCATAAGTATAACTGCCATAGAATGACCATTAGATTCTGTGATTTCTAAGGAGCAATAAATATACAATATGAAACTGCATGTACCAACTCTTTATTTCCTTGCTTTGTAAGTGTCATTCTAACACACCATCACTTAATTGTATTTAAATTTTTTATTCTTTTTTATTGGAGATATACGTATGGTTCCTTGCCAGACATTTGTTTACCATGATAATGTCTGAGTTTTATTGTGCCAGCTAATAAAGGGATTTTAGCCTTGAGTATTTTTGTCATAATTACAGTGATTTGGATTAAATAAAAATAGCTATTTTTCTTAAAATGGCACACTTCCATTGTCCTTATTCCAAATATCTTTTCAAAACCTTAATTCTTTCTAATATTTGAAAGAAAGCTACTATTTTAGTATTACATTAGCGTAGACCTTTTTTCTGTTCTTTAAGAGCAATTAATTCATAACACTGAAGCATTGTAAAAAAAAAAGTCAGAGGGGTGTGTGTGTGTGTGTGTGTGTGTGTGTGTGTGTGGCTCAGTTCCAAGCATGATTCACATTTTAGGCTATGATATCATCCTTAAATTTAAGTGCTTTGACAGAGAAATAAACACTTGGAGAAGTAGCAAAATAAAATGGGAAATGAAATGGGGGAAGATAGAAAAATAATATTTTATTTTAAGATTATCATGAATTCTATGTGATTCAGAGTATGCTGTCATTAAAGTGACAGCTTAAGAAAATTTTTGTCTTGTTTTTGTTAATAATGCTAATTCTATTTAGAATGCACCTGTTTTCATTTTTTTGTCACTTTAAGTAGATTGTCATATTTTTTTTAAGCTCTATTTCAGAAATTGGAGGTGCTGAAGCAAAAATTAACTTTTTCTGAAATTCAAATTTAGACCATGTCATACTTCTCTGAACTCTATCCTGAACCAAAAGCAGGATACTAGAAAAATAAAGATGGGTGGGGAGGAACGTGGTAGCAATCTTATTGGTGTCAGTCACACACTATAAATGAACTGTACTCTTACAGAAAAGAGAGCGTAAGTGATAATCAGGACCTTCTCTAACTTTCTTCCTACTTGTTCTAGTACTATCAATCTTTCTACCAAATAATTTTGCCATGGGAAAATTTGGATCGTGAGCCTTATGAATGACCTCAAAGATTCATTTTTCTTGTTCATCTGGTTCATAGTGTGCTCTTCTCAGTTCTGTAACCGCACCAATGTGCTTATAGGTCTTTTAATACAGCCTTTGGTATTGAGAGGCAGATTTAGTCTTGAGCTATGGGATCTATCTAAATCAACCTAAAACTGGGATATTTTATATCTAATATGTCAGCCTAACATTCATTCATTATGCATTATTTTTGGCTGCCTCATATGAGTGTTCTGCTGTGATATTAGAGTCTATGCTTAGAACAAGGTTTTTTTGTTTTTTTTTTTTCCTAGTGCTTCAGTCTAAATAATCACCTTGGGTATCTAATATTGAATATTATACCTCTGTTTTAACAAAGCATTTGGTAAAGGCTTTCATGTTACTCTTGTGAAAAAAAAAAAGAAAAGAAAAGTGTGGATTAGATCAGAGGTGTCAGACAAGCAGTCCCACTTGCAACATTCCCTTGTGCCACCAAACCCGATTAAAATGTAATTGAGAAATATTTAACAAAATAAAATTTAAAAATACAATGGAAATTAGATAATGTTAATATGTGATTTTCTAAGTCAGTATTCACCTATAGGTTAGTGATCCTTGTTTCTATTGAGTTTGACACCACTGGGTTAGATGACAATACAGTTAAATATATCATAATTGTTTAGACTCAAACAGTAATTATGAAGTATTCATTCTCAGCTTGGAAATTGTCAGCAGAGTGCCCCCAAGGGAGCTGTGTTTGACTCTGCCGTTATCAGTGCTGTTATCAGTGACTTAGATAAAGGTATAGATACTATATTTATCAAATATTCATATGGCAAAAGTTAGGAAGATAGCTAATATGTATGAGAGAATTAAGAAATATCTTGAAAGGGCAAAACATTGGAGTGAATTCTGTAAGGTGAGGTTTAATAGAGATTAATCAGCCTCCCTAGTCAAGACATTGAAGAAGTGGCTTGATATTTTTTCATCTGAAAAAGATCTGTGGATTTCAAGAATCACAGAATCTGATTTAAAAGAGATTTCAGAGGTTCCCTAGAACCAACATCCCGTCTTTACTATCCCAGCAGGTGGTTGTCCAGCATGTCCATTTGTCCTCTGCCTGTGTATAGGATCCATACAGATTCAAAATTTAGTTTTGTTTGGAAGTGATTACAGTTCTTTTTTTCTATAATCCTCATCGTTTGAGCAGACTTTGTCTAACCAGATATGATTACTTAAGCCAGTGATATAAATACTAACTTATGTCCAGGGCTTAACAAGAAGCTAGCCCAGTTAAAATCATTTGCTGATTATTTTTTTTATTTTTAAAATATGCTTTATTGATGTGTCTTCTCTTTTTATCAATGTTCATTAAGTGAATTTAAGAAAAATAAACTATAACCAACTTATTTTGTTGTCTTGTTTTTTATTTTTGTGTGTGTGTGTTTTTTTTAAGGGAGTTTGTGTTTGGAGGGAAAGTACTTGAGTTTTCATTAAGAATTTGAAATGTTATTATATGGAAGGAGGGCTTAATTAAAGTTCTTCTCCAAGGACGGAACTAGGGGAAGTTGGTGTAAGTTGCATAAAGGCAAATTTAGGCTTCATATAGGAAAAAAATTCTTGGCCACTAGAGCTGTCAAAAAGCTTAGATTTACCTTGGGAAGTTGCTAGTTCCCCATTATTAAAGAACTTCTGATGTAGTAGAAAGAGCATTGGGTATAGAATCAGAGGTTTCTGCTACGTAGTACCTTTCTGTCAAATAACTGAAGTCTCTCTGGCTCAACTATCAAGTGAGGAGATTGAACTAGATAAACTCAAAAATCCCTTCCAGCTCTAAATCCTATGGTCCTCTGTTAGGGATGTTACAGAGGGGTATAGGTAGAACTAAATGGCCACTGTTTTCCATTTCAACTGTGGGATTATCTGATCTTTTGATTATAAAGAAGTAGAGAGCATAGGGGATGAGATAATGAAAATGGGATTCATGCACATGTAGGTGGAAATTTTGTGGGCCTGTTGGATTTCTGGAAACTGGAAAATTTGCTCCCCATTTCAGAAACTCAAGGAATTTGAGATTATTTTCATTTTCTTAAAATTCATTTAAAACTTATCTTTGGTAGAATTAATTAAATATCTCTTTACATTTCTTTTGTAGGCCATATACACCGATGAATGGAGGACTCTCCAATGTGTGGTTTGACAGATATAAAATATCAAATGATTGCCCAGAACACCTTGAATCTATTGACTCAATGTGCCAAGTTCTTACAAGTTTGATTGATGAAGAAGTAAAAAATGGCATAAAGAAGAGTAGGATACTAGTTGGTAAGACATTCTAGTGTCAGTAATATATATAAAAGATATATTCACATATATCAAAAATATACATTAAACTATATTTGCAGTATTATATTTAAGCAATTTATGCCTTTTTATCAATAAAAATAATGTATAAATTATGCTAAACTATACATATTTGTTTTCAGTTTAATTTTATAAATATTTTAGCATGACAATTGAATTTTACTTTTACATGGTATTAGAAGATATACTTTGAGGTAATAATGTATATTTTAAGAATACCAACAAATTTTTTTCTCAACAAATCATCTTTAGCTAGTACATTATACATTTCAAAACTTCTGGGAGAAATTCATATAATTTCTCTGAGTAATTATTTAAGCAAGTGCAAGTTGCAGTCTTTAAAAGGATTTAAAAGAACACACGTGAAATTTGTTAAAACTCAAGGCTCTTCAAAACCAGTGGCCTATAGATATAGAATTTGGGCACTTTCATGTTAAACATGACTAAAATTTTTCGTTCTTAAATTGGTTTTGAAATAATTTGATATTAGATCTTACTTCTTTATCTATAGCTATCAAAACCCTGATTTATTATGTTTCCCCCTTTTCAAATTAAAACTGACAGAGAAAGAAATATTCTTGGTAAAAGGTAAGCTTGATTCTAAAGAAATTTGCAATAGAAGCTAATCACAAGGAAAAGGAATGCCCTCCTATTTCAAGTAAGATTTTAAAAACAGAACATGTTTGAGACAAGGTTTTAGGGAATTTAAACAAATTGTGTTCATTGAGCTAGGAAGAGATCACAGTACTTGCTAAGCTGCTTGAGGAAATTAGAGGTTTTCTTGAATTAGAGTAGCATTTAAGTCATTGACAAGTAGGGGAGTCAGAGTAATTAGAATTATGCACAAAATTGTATTCAATTTTCTGTTGTACATTTCTTGAAAATTTCTCCAAGTTATTAACTTAGTGGTAATAGTGTTCAGTATAGATAGTAATTTAGTTGAGGTGCATTTTTTAGCTTATACCATGTGCAGGAAATAACTGTGTTTTATTCTGTGAGGGCAGAATAAATATCAATAATGTGCCTTTCCCCATCAAATGCAATTAAATTTAACACATTTTTATTAAACTTTTACTATGTGCCATCCATTCAGTTACCTAGAACAGGATATATCATCATAGATAACTGTAATTCAGGCAGATTAATAATGCACTTAGGAGAGGTATGGGGGGGTATTCAGAACATAGAGTGATAGATCCCAACCAAGGGCCTCAAGGAAAGCCATCCCAGAGGTAGTATTTGAGTTGGATCATGAAGAATGAGTATTGTGACTGTCAGATCTGAGCGCAAAAGAAGGAATTTTATTCAGAGAACAGCAAGAACAAAACATTGAGATAGTCCTCATCAGGAGACAATGAGTACTCTAGGACTATGTAGGACATTAGGGAGAATATTAGATTAGAAAGGTTAGTTGGAAACAGATTGGATGGTATTGATTGCTGGGCTTAAGAAGTTAAATATTTTTCTATAGATAATAGGAACCAGTGTGGAGACTGCATTGATAGAAATTAATGACTCTTAGGATGTGGGGAAATGTAGAGGGAGAAGTTAAATCCTGGTTGACTTAGAGAATATTTCAAGAACCTTTAGAGTTCATTGGTTTGTGTTAGCCCCTCTCTTTATACAGATACAGTTGCTGTAGTTAAAAATAAATAAATAAAAATTCAACATCCTAATATGTCAACATATTAGACATACTCTATAGAACCTCTTAGACATACTCTTCATAAAACAAGCACACAATTTCTTACCAGTTTTACACTTAAAGCCTTTCCAGCTCAACTGGACCTGCCAGAGGTTTTATTCTCCTGGTTTATTCTCTGAGCATCCAAGATCACCTCTATGCCTTGATAAAGTATTTAAGAAAGGACACCAGCCAAACTGGAAGAATACCAGGCTTTGAGAATCTACATCCTGATCACACTTTACTTCAACAAACATTTTTTAAATACCTCAGTTCCACCTAGACTCATAGTAACCCTAGTCTTCAATGTAGTGGGCTATCATTGCAAGACCAGGATGACAGTGAGTTACTTGATAAAATGGCTCATTTTCTTCACTGTGCCCTATAGCCCCACTGCTGCAAAAATAATTTGAATTATTCAAACAGTGGATCTTTTGGTTTCACAGATTTTCCTCCCATTCAATCTCAAAGGGCTTCAGTTCATATCAGATTTCTTGACCACCCTATTCACTTCACTTGGGGTCAAAATTCAGTTGTCCCCTTTGTGCCATTACCAATATAATATGCAGATGAATTATATTAATAATACTCCTAGAGCATTCTCTCTGATACCATACCACGTGATACCGGGGCAGTTGAACTACGATGTTTTACACTGGTAGAGTTCTACCAAGATAAGTTTGTATCTCCACCAAGAACATACTCTTCAAACTATGGATGGATTCTAAGTTCACTTTAACATCTTCCAATAGGACCATAGTCCTGGCACTGGATAATTACATAGAAGAAACCACTCAAGCACATGTACAGGCCACCCTAGAAGCTTTTTTTTTTTTTTTTTTGCTTTAACTTCATTTTTAATAAAGTCTCTTCCCTGGTAGTAAGAATTGAACAGCTCTTAAGATCTAGTAAAAACTTAAGATATTTTATTGAGGCCAAAATCACTATTCAGAGAATAGAAAACGCAGTATGCAAAAACAATGTGACTTCAAAAGGCAGAGCTAAATGGTAAAGTGTTATTTTGTGATTTCCTTTTTTCTCTATTGATTTTTATAAGTATTGCTATAGTGTGTTTTTTATATCTGATTGTAAAGTATATCTCGTTTTTGTATCAGATTGTAAATTACATTTCTCCTCTCACCCCTACCATCCCTTATCTAAGAAAAAAAGTTTAGCAAAGGTAACTGACATCAGCCAAGTCCAACATTATATATAATGTTCCACACCCATAGTACTACATTTTTGCAAAGAAGGGATAGAGGTACATTCTCACAAATCTTCTTTGGATTTAAGCTTGTTCATCATAATTTCAGTGTTCGGTTTCAGTTATTTTGTTGTTGTTCTTTACATTTCCATAATTATTGTGAATAATGAATAAATGATGAATTAATGAAGCATTCATTAAGCACTGAGGATACAAATAGGAAAGTAAAACAATCCTTCCTGTCATGGAATTTACACTCAGTAATGGGGAAAAAAATCAACTGTATGTCAGAAAGGTCCCATGGTCCTTAGGATGTAGCAGCAAAGCAAACTGAATGTCTCTTTGTTAATGTCATTTCCACTGATAAAATCCTATCAGTTTCTGATGTTGAACTATTTGATGGTCTCAGGGACTTTGGTGGTAAGAACTAACTATAGCACCTGTAGGAATAGTTGGTAGGTTATATCTCTGTAGGATTTTCTTCCCAGAATGATGGCTGAGGGCACTGGACTGGAAGCATTGCTATTCCCAAGGCTCTTGGGTACAGGGTTCTAGGCTCTCCATCAGGGTTTGTGGGAGTAGTGTGGTCAGAGTAATGGTTGTAGTGTTGTGACTTGCATGACATGTGTTAACTCCTGTCTCTCCCTGTTACCTCCTGTCTCTCCCTCGGGGTGTCTTGCTGCTTTACCTAGTCTGGCTTGCCTGTCCTGTGAGTGGAAGTTGGTGAAGATGGTTCACCCCCTCTTCACAGGAGTTGCTTACCCTGATGATGGCTATTAGTGCTAGGCTAGAAGCAGTACTAGTGGTCTGTGTTATGTTGCAACTCCAGGGCTCTTGTGCCTATCTACCTTTTGGTGGCACTTAATCAGCGGTTGTCTCAGATGATGAGGAAGGAGGGGCCCTTCTCCACAGGGACTTCTCTTTTCAGTGGTGGCTACAGGGTCCATGTTGGAAGCAGGTCTGGTACTTTAGGTGACACTGCTGTTCCCAAGGCTCTTAGATTCAGGGTCCGTGACTGTCTCCATGGGAGTTTTAGGGGAGATAGTAGTCCTGGTGGTGGTTTGACTTGCTTGCCACATGCTTCCTCCTCTCTCTAAGGGTGCCTTGCTGCTTCTTTCCTATTGTTTTCCCAATTCTGCTTGCTTTACTTTGTATCCATCCATATAAGCCTTTGCAATTTTTTTGGATAGCATTTATTATGGTGCAGTAGCATTGCATTGCATTCATCTACCATGCCTTGCTTAGCCATTCTCCAATCAGTGGGCATCTATTTTGTTTCTCATTCTTTGTTGCTTAAAACAAAATTGTGCTCTAGGTATTTTGGTGTATGTGGGGCATTGGATGGGGCAGTATTATATAGTTCAGAGGTTCTTAACCTTCTTGTACCCTCTATTCAGTATGAAATTAGAAAGAAAATAACATTCTAGAGTTTGTCATACATATATACTTAAGATTTAAAATAGATTAATTTTTTATGCATTGCTTTAAAAAAAAAAAGACTATTATAGCCTGTATGTGACAAGCTGTAATAGTAAAAGTGTCTTATGCTGACAGTCTTAACCACATTTGTATCATTTAATATGGGCAACTGCACCCCCTTTCTTTCTTTCTAGTATGATTCTTTCATGTTCAGCTTATCCTCACCCTGTCAGGTAGGGGAATTTTTTTGTCTCTCAGCAAATGAAATGTCCATATACAAAATAGTTTTTCAGGTTATCAAAAAATTGTTAAACATTTATGAAAACAAAGTCAAATAAATTACTGAGATTTTTGATTCTGTTTCTTGTCAACCAATAGTTTTATTCTAGATTTACTTTTTGCTTTGAATTTAAGGACTAAAAATCCTAATTCTTAGAGATAAGTTGTTATAAATGAAAGTAAAGTCTATGGGCACATTTAGTAAAAATGGAATGTGCTTCTCTAAGTGTATTCCCCAAATACTGTCATTTCATTGATTTGAAACCAGTTCAGAGTGTCTGGTTATTGAAGAGATCCATAGCTTATCTTGTACTAGATCACTGTATGAAAATATTGAAAATTTCCAACCTCATTCATTTGATTTTGATAAGTAAT